CCACCTGGGCCTGACCAGTACCCCGTTGGAGCGTTGTGAATGAAAATGGAACTAAAGAACATGGGACATACAAATCAAACTAAGGTAAGTATCTCAGTGTTTGGGCTTGTCAGCTTACAGGCAGTGTCTTTCTGTTGCTTTACACTAGGGCCCAGAAAGCGGTGGAGGCTCTCCCTTCCTCATTGGGCAGGTCTGCTCTGGACCAGAGGAATAACAAAAGAAAAACCCCTGGTTGGGTTTGTCTCCTTGTGATATGGAAGCCCCAGCCTTGGGCACTTACATGCTGGCCTGATGTCTCCCAGCCAGGTCTGAACACTTCTGGATGCAGGCCTTCCCTTGGCCCTAACTGGCTAAGTAAGAATAGAGTAGATTTCTCTCTCCTGTAGCAAGCCAGGTTATAGTCAGGGAGATAGTAGGTAGTTTCCTGATGGGTCCTTGTTCTGGTGCTTTCACAAACCCTACCAAATCTTGGGCAGTTCATGGGATGTCATGTAGATGTTCTTGTGTTTGTTGTACTGATAGGCATGTGTGATCTCATTGAAATGCCTATATTATGCTCTATTCATTTATGTCACTTTTATCTCTGTATGGATTGTTATGTTGTCTGTATATCTCTTTACGATTTTTGACAAGGTCTGGCCAAGGAACTGAGGAATTCATATTTAGGGACAAGGGAGTGGGTGGATCTCTCATCATTATGTCTCTAGGGCAATAAGAATTGCCACTCCCAGAGACAGGCAGAAGACATCATCGGGTTGGGCACCCTGTAATGGGGAAATCAACTCTACAGCAAAGGTGTCCAAGAAAAAGGGCCCATCAGCCAGAGGAATGCCAGATGTCCTAGGGAGGTAAATTTCTGGGATTCTGGGCATCTATACACATACTCCAGGGTGGAGGGGAGGGCTTTAATTAAAGTGGCTCTGATAGCTTCTTTAATTAAAGCATCTTCAGCATCATGTGTATTCAGCATCCCACACTTCAAAGTGGCAGCAGGGGCACTTTAACTAAACCTTGTTTGATGAGCTTTAGTTCAAGTGTCCCTGTCACCATTTTGAAACATGGGGACGCTGAGTACATGTACGCAGAGGCTGCTGGAATGTGCAGTTAGCACGATCCAGCAGACTCGATTAATCAAGTCTGCTTCAACACATGCTAATCAGCACATATCAGAACAGAGCTCTGTCACATGTACAGGTGCCCTCTGAGACTCATGAGAATTGTGACAGTGCTGAAGGGCATGGGGGCTGGCTTGGAGTTCTTTAGGAAGATATCTGGATGATACGCCCAGTCTTTGGATTTTCTCAGGCTTTGGAGTCCAGTTCCCCAGCAGACAGGGCTGGCACAAACAGCAGGAAGGCTGTTCTCTAAAAATACTGGCAGGTCTTTCTGAAAGACTAGTTGATAGTCAGATGAGAAGGGAGGAATTTTTACTTGACTTTTTGTTCCAACTCCAAATGTAGGGTTAGTTTTTTCCGCATCATTCTTTTATCCTATATAAATAAATCTTTTTGTTGTTTGTCACCTTATTGATTGCCTGTGATGAAGAGTGATCTCTGGGCAAGTGATATGCCAGGTTAACCCATTTGATGGAAAGGGGGACCTAAAATTTCTGTCACAACCCAAAGGGAAGTCACCTGGAGCTGGCAAACCTTAGTCTGCTCCTTGGGAAAAGTGGCAAGACAGCAGGGAGAAACTGGGGCTATAGGGACATCCCACAGACAGGTTTCTGACAGATGCAGTCAGAAGCAACTGAAAATAGCACAGATCTGATTCAATGAGTGACCAAAGGCAAGAATTCAGCAACATACTTTTTTTTTCCATTTTAAAAGCTTGAATCCCAAACCCTTCTCAGTGCTCATGTATAATTTGTGTTAATGGATTGTTATTAATAAATTAATAAATTAAAGAGTTTTATACTGCATCTGCTGCAATCATAGACCTTACATATTTTTAATACAACCTCTGTGGCAGACAGAATTTTCTAGAAACATTGGGCCAGAGTCATATGTGTTATAAACTGGCATAGCTCCATTTACTTCAGTGGAATTATCCCACATTTATGCCAGTTTAAACATGGCCTACTGTTTTTAAATTAGGCAATAGAAAATTTAACTAAAATTTAAGTTAAATTGGGGAGAATAAATAAAAAGAGCTTTGCCAACAGGGAAAAACAACTGTGTTTGAAAATATCTTTGTTTCTGTTGCAAAGTCATTCTTTTGCTAACAACTTCCTCCTGTTTGGTTTCATGACTTCCTTTTCATGGTTTTAACACCGCCGCCCCACCTACTGTGGGGTTTTTACCTGTAGGACTGAAGCTTAAGACTGGCCCTCAAAATTTGCTTTAATTTTTCTTTTTTTGTCTCTGACTGAACTGATACCAATGGATATCAGTGCAGAAAAAGCAAGAAATGTGATTTAGTAAGGCTTTCTGTTACTGATGTTCTTCCATCACTGCTGGAGGAAGACAGAAATTAATCCCTCTAGCGGATGTGCATTGACCTAGAGAGATGTATTATTATTCATTGAGATCTACATGCCACATGAAGGTACAAAAAAATCTTTGTAAAAAGTTACTGAGTTATTTATAGAATCTGCAGTAAGTCTAGACAACCTTTTAAAAGCAGTTTATCATAACATTTACATTTTCTACCTCAAAATAATACAAGAATAATGTATTGTAGAACAAAAAACTACTTAAAATATAGAGTGCTTTTCTAATTGAATGGTACAATCAATTACTATATATTGGGTCTTGCCAGCAACTGTTTACCTATTCATTCTGGCAATTGAGGCAGGAAGTGGCTAGACTGAGCAGGAGTCTAATGAAATTAAACAGATTCACTCTGTATAGTTATGACCTATATTGGAGCACTAATACTTTCCCCAAATCATCAGTTATCCCTACCATTTTTTGCCGAATTCTCAAGAATCCCCCATTTTCCTCCGTTTACAATCAATCTGTTCTGCTCCTTATAGTTCTGACTAGAGTTAATTTTCTCAGGTTCCCACTCATGATAGTTCTTTGACTGTTCTGAAGAGTGCCCATAAGCAATATTGCTAGATGCTATCAGTTGAGTGGCTAACATTTTAAGACAGAAGGCAGAGTAGATATAGACCTTTATTGACAAACTAAATCAGAGATATATAGCATAAGCTTTCATAAGCAAAGGGTGTACACTAAGCATATGCTTATATATAGTATAAGTTTTCATAAACATAAAACTTATGAAAGCTAAATCTAAAAATAGAAATCTACCCTGCGTTCTGCGTGACTTCAGACTAACATGCCTACCTACCTCTCCATGACATTTTCAGAAGCAGCAAGCAACACATCCTCCAACTAAAGTCTGTGAGCAATCGGCACTTCTGAAAATCATGCCCAATAGGCTGGCACCAAAATGTATCTCCACATTACCTTAATAATGCTATGATTTTAAAGAGCTCTCTCATTAAATTGGTATCTCTTGTATGAGCATATAACTTGAATCAGGTGCCAGTTTTGTATCATATTCACTCTAAAAGCTGTTGAATTATATTAAAGTTCATTCCACTTCTATGGCTCTACAGAATCATTGCAAAGATACACTAGACATCCATTGCAGCCTTGTATTCAGGAACACAGTTGCATACATTAAAAAGAAGAGCCACCTTATTTACTCACTCTTCCCTGTCTTGGAAATTTGCTCTGTGAGTGCTGCCAGTGCAGAGGCTCTCTTGTAAGCGTCATAGTAACAGGCCCTGCACGTGGCCTTTGCATGACCTATGGGCCTGTCACTCAAGGGTGACCTAGTTTCCCTGTCAGACGCATGCCCAGTGTGAGGGAGGATAACAGTGCGCATGCCCAATTATGTTATATAATCAGACTAGAAAGTTCTGTGGAGTTTACATTCTGATTGGCTACCAAAATTCTGATAAAAGCCTAGTGAGCCCCCTCCCACAGGGGGGAGAAGAGCGAGAGAGAGAGAGAGAGAGAGAGAGAGAGACAGACAGACAGACAGACAGACAGACAGACAGACAGACAGAGAGAGAGACCCGCGTAACTGGAGACAGAGGCTGACTCCTTCAGGGACTGTCCTTCAGTTAGGCCCTTGGGCCTATTGGCCTCTCTCCCCGCCTGGCATTCTGTATCGTTAACTGTACTGATCTTCGGCTTCCAACTATCTTCGACCACGATTCCGGATCACCCTTACGGACTTTGACTTCAACCTCGGCGTGACTTACCTGGCTCCTGACTTCGGCAATCATCTCGGCTACCCAACTGTTCTGTGGACTGGCGACACCGACGCGTTACAGTTCTGTTTGTTATTTGTCTTCCTTTATAAACTGTTGACCATCCCTGGGACTTACCTGACAGGCAGCCGCACCTATTCCCGGGCTCCGGCACCGGGAGTAGAAAGCAAGGGCCTGTCGGCGAACCCCGTGGGACAACAGGTTCCCCCTGTTGTGCGTTACTAACTGTAACTGAAGACTCCGTACCTGCGCTCTACCAAGCGTAAGTTAATAAACCCATTCAATTAAAGAACATCCAGCTTCCGTGTCACTCAGAACTCCACCGCCGCTAGACCCAGCCTGTTCGTTCGGGTTCCACCGTGACACTTGGGACCCTTTCTCTGGGGAGGGAAACCCAGCATTCCCAAGATTTGGTGAGGTAATTCATTATTCTTTAACAAAGGGAGTAACTTTTCTCTTCCACATACAACGATAGTCTATTGTACAAATGTGAAATCATGATTTTCAAATTTTAACCAAATTGTTTTATCATCTTCCTATACAAAATTCTTTTCTTCAGTTTCAGTGATAACATCAATTAACTATGACAGGTTCCAGTTCATATTTCACAGACAAGATCTGATTTTTTGCAGTTTTTATTTATTTTATTTAAGCACATAATTAATTTGTTTATTTCCCTACCAAATAAACTCTTTTATCTGATTTGAGGTTGTTTGCAACTTATATACTATAGGAGGTACACAGCACAAGAAAAAGACATGTCTCTTACCATAATGTGGAATTATTAACCAGGCCATGGCAGAAGCATAGATTCCTCCAATCATCCAAAACATGCATAGCCAACTCAAGTGTTCACCACGCTTCTCTCGTGCAAGGACTTCAGAAAAATATGAGAATACTGCTGGAACAGCTCCACCAATTCTAAAAGGAGACATAAAGCAGGTGTCAAGGTTAGAGAGATGTTAAGTCTTTACAGTGTGAACACATCTCATTTTATCTACTTGGTACCTGAACTACAAGAGACTTTGCTACAAAAAGAGTTTGGGTTTCTGTCTTTTGTCACAGCAGTAATGGATTTCTATATGCCATTGGCACGATTACAATGTATTTGAGGAACTCTAATTCAATTAGATGCAACAATTTCCATGAAAGCAATATGGTCAATAAAGATCTAGTGGATTAAAGAATTTGTCAGGAGGCTGTAGAAACTTGCAGATATGGGACCAACGTATTTTATATTTCTGGCATTAGGCTATAGAAAGCAATACCTATTTGATTCAATTTCCCCTTCCATTCTTTAACAGGGAACAGTATGATGAAATTTTTAATGACCCTGATTATTTCATGCATGATTTGGGGTATGAACAAACATACAACTGTAGTGGCTTCAAAGGGAGATGCTACTCCTGACCATGCAGCAACTGTTATTCTGTACCTATTATTGTGCATGAGACTGTAGCAATACAAGTGAAGCAAAACTTACCCGATTTTAACTTTGCTTCATCCAGGTTCAAAGTTACAGTAATTTAGCTCTGTGAGAGGGGCAGCAAAAGCCCCTCTAGTGTGTCCCAGACCTCCACCCCATGCACCCTGATACTCACCGCAGGAATCCAAACGAGCGGCAGCCGGGGAGAAACATGGACGCAGGCTCCACAATTCAGGAGCTGCCTGAGCCTGCGTATCAGTGATTGATCAGGGCGGAGCTCTAAAGAGGCGCAGGCTGCTCAAAAAGCAGCCGAGAACACAGCTGAGGGGCCAGCAAGGGAGGAGCAGGATGCTGGCCAGGAGACGTTGCCTGCAGAGCCGGGGATCACAAGCCCTGAGTGCAGGAAAGCGGAGCAGAGCATCTGCCGGAGGGCTCAGGCAGACAAGACAAGGGACACAAGCCTAAGAGACCCAGGGATGCCGGGGCATGACATTGCAGCCCCACCAGGGAATCCAGGGATGGTGGCTGGGGATGGTGGCAGGGAGCTGCTAACCGTCTTGGGCAGCTCAGCGGGGAGGAAGGCACAGCCCAGCGTGGGAATTACGAGCCCCACCAGCTCGGGAAGAACAGGAGACCAACTACAGGTCAGTGGGAACCCGGAGGCGGTCACACTGGGGAGATGAATCAGGGTGGGGCACGGGGTGGCTGCCCATCCCCACAACTACTACGATGGAAGGGACGGGCGAGTTCTCCTTCTTTTCCTCTTCCCCCTCCTGAGTGACCAAGCGGGCACTGGGAGACAGGATCCCGGGTGATCATTGGCAGAGGCCAGACATTTTCTGTTGGATGCATTTTTAGTTCCAGTTAGCCCCAGGCCATGGGCAGGTTTAGAGGCCCAAGCTGGCCCGAAGTTGAGGGACTGGCCATGGGGAAGATTGTGCTGGCTGAGAAGACCTGACCCGTTACAAGAAGAGATCATCCAAGGGAAGACCTGCAGGGTGCAGTGTTTTCCCAGGCTGTGGATGTGGTAAGTGTGGGATAAAGGGGAAGTTTGGAGCCCCACGAAGAAAGACCAGGGTTGAGACCTGTTCGCTTTGGGGCCACCTGAACGGAACTGCCTCCCCAATGGGTGGGACATGGGTGGTAAAGAACATCAAAGACATGGCAGGCAAGTAGGAGCAGCATCCACACCATCTGGGAGGCACCAGAGCCTGATCTCACCCTGACATCGCTTGGGAGCAAGGCACCTATCAAGAAGGGGGCTGAAGCCCTACAATACCTATGATCAATTTTGTAATTGAAATGTTATATTGTGATGTTGTTTTGTGTTGATGTTGCTCAAATTGTTTTATTGTGATGGGTAAATAGTGTTATTTAGGGTTTGACCTTGGTTACTGGTTAATGTTTACTGTGTAAATATATGTATATGACATTTAGTTTTATGATTATGTATATTGTTGCTGGAAGGTGTTGTAACACTTCGGCCTTCTTTTACTGGGCGCCTTGCCCCCATGGACGTCAGGGTGAGGTTCGAGCTTGGATGTCACATGGGTGGTATGTGTGCTGCCCTTACTCACCTGCCATGACTTTGATGTTTTTGTTGGGGAGGCAGTTCCCTTCAGGTGGCCCCCTGGGGATGAAGATGCCTCAATCCCTGTTCTTGCTTCGTGGGGCTCCAAACCTCCCCTTTACCACACCCTTACCACATCCACGGCCAAAATGGATACTATCTTCTGCAGGCATCCCCTTGGATGACTTTCCCTCTTTACGCGGCTTGCCCGCCTCCCAGTGGGTTGGACCTAACCAGACAGTTTGCCCTTCACTGTAGCCAGTTCCTTGACTTCTGGCTGATTAGTGTATATAAGCCGGCCCTGTCTTCAGGCTAGCTAGGGCTTCTAACGAAAATCAACACCTAGATTTCCACCGGAGGGTTCCCCCTGGGATCTCGTCTCCCAGTGCCCCTTTTATGGTCCACATAAAGAAGAAATTTGAAGGAATGGATGAGGGACCCAATTGTCCCTGAGCCCTGGGTGACTATGGGGGTTAGCTGCTGTTCTGTGCCCCACCCTGGTCCAGCTCCTCAGTTTGGCCAGCACTGGCCTCCAGATAACCTGGAGTGGCTCCCGGTCTTCCCTGGCTTGGAAGAGCATGTGGTTCCTACGCTGGGTTGCTCATACCCCACCCCCGCTGTGCTCCTGCTGCTCCTGCTGGTGCCTCCTGCTGGTGCTCCTGCTGGTGCCTCCCACCTCCTGTGCCAGGGCCCTCAGCACCCCCTCTCTTGTCTGCAGCTGGGCAACCTTCCTCTTTGTTGCCTGTGTCTCTGGGTCAACGTCCTTTCTCCCCTCCACCGGCATCTCTGGATTGGTGCTGTCTTCTTCCTCCACTGCCTCTGGATTGGCATCCTCTTCTATCCCCACCAGCATCTCTGGATAGGCATCCTCCTCTTCCTTCCCCGGCATCTTTGGGTCAGCGTCCTCTTCTGCCATTCACCGCCCCTCAGCTGTTTTCCTGGCTGCTATTTGAGCAGCCCGCGGTTTCTGGAGGCTCCACCCATGTCCCTCACCAATCCACAGCTGTAGGCAGCTCCAGAATCATGGGGCTGCCACCCGCGCTTCCTCCCGGCTGCTGCTCTTCAGGATTCCTAGGGTGAGTACTGGGGTGCATGGGGTGGGGGTCCAGAATCCCTTAGAGGGGGTTTCACTGCCCCTCTCACATATATTATAACTCAGTAAATTGTATATAGTTAAGAACTTTGGGCTTGGGGTAACTCTATAGAGGAAAGAGGGATCTGCTCAAAATTCTGGCATCCTTCTCACAGCACCCCCTCCTGCCTACCCATCCCATCCAAATGACTCCAAGATGAAAATGAGTTGTCAATGTGATGAAGTGATCAGTAAAGCTAACCACACTTTATCATGCATTAGCAGGTACATGATAAACATGTCCAGGGAGGTGATACTTTCTCTTTATGTAGCATTGGTCAGGCCACAGTTGAAGTACTGTGTCCAGTTTTGGGTGCCACACTTCAAGAGGGATGTGGACAACCTCAAGAGGGTTCAGAGGAAGGCCACTCGTATGGTTAGGGGCTTGCAGGCAAAGCCCTATGGGGAGAGTTTGAGGGCCCTGGATCTCTTCAGCCTCCACAAGAGAGGGCTGAGAGGTGATCTTATGGCCGCCTACAAATTCATTGGGGTGGGGGACAGCAAAGAATAGGAGATGCTCTGTTGACCAGGGCACCCCTTGGAGTAACTAGGAACAATGGCCACAAACTGATGGAGAGCAGATTTAGTTTGGACATCAGGAAGAACTTCGTTATGGTAAGGGTTGCCAGAATCTGGAATGGACTTCCAAGGGAGGTGGTGCTCTCCCCTACCTTGGGGGTCTTTAAGAGGAGGCTTGGAGGTCTTTAAGAGGAGTACTTGGCTGAGGTCATCTGACCCCAGTGCTCTTTCCTGCCCAGGGCAGGGGGTCAGACTCTATCTGCTGAGGTCCCTCCCGACCCAAACATCTATGAATCTATGAAAGGGGGAACTGGCACTCAGACCAGGAGCCCAGGGGCCACACTTTAAATTCTAATGGTCTGCATGCAACCCATTGGCCACCAGCTGGGCAGCCCTGCACTAGAAGAACTAGCATTATAGTTTTAGGGGGTAAAACTGAATTTTTGATAAAAGCTTTCCTTTTAGTGGTATTAACTTTGTCATTTCAGCACAGAATTCCTGCACGATCAATAGTAAAAGAAATATTTAGACTTTCAATAGTTTACAAAAAAGTTATTGTGAACTTTTTGTGTACATAGTTCAAATATTTCAGAAAAATAAAAGGCTAAAATTAGGCTCCTATGCCTGCAGTATCAAGTATCTCCCAGTGAGCTTTTCAAAGAAAGAAACTGAAATAAAGAAACCACAAACTTTGAAGAAGGCTGAGCTGAAGCATTTGCACCTTCCTAACTCATTCAAGTACCATATAGTTTGGGTTGATCTCATAATTAGTATGATAGTGAGACACATTTTAAACATGAAATTTTTAAGAGAAAAAACACCTCTGTGAAATGTGAAATTGTAGTAACAAGTGGGAAACTTAATGAAAACACAAATTACAAAACAACCACATTAGAAATGAAAAAGGAAGAACTAGTAACTTGTAAATATTGGTAAATAACTCGTCACATTAAAAACAGTCTTGGCTTAAAAATTAGTTATTTTTTTAAAATTTTTATTTAATGTATCTGATAATAGCATATCTACCTATTTTAATTATTAGACCATTTGCATCCCTGTTATAAGTCAGTGGAATGAATTTATCCTTAGCACATATCCAAATGGCAAAGGATTATTTTGTGAAATTCTTAACATATAAAATTAGTGAGACAGTGCTCAGAAGTTCATGAAACACTACTGAAGAGAGATTACCTAGTGTAATGAGAGCAGGGCACTGGAAGAACAGTCTGTATTATTTCATCAGTCTATGCCAGTGGTGCTCAACCTTTTTCTCT